CTACAGTTAACATCAAATAACTGAGTACACCAACACAGACTTAAAATCAGTCATCCTTAAGTAGTAATACAGCACTCAGACACATCTACAGACCAAAGCGTTTTTTCATATTATAATTACAGGTTCTTTTAAAGAGGCTACATTGATCTGTGACCACTTACCCTGCTGTACATGCTTGGAGTTAACACCTAGCAATTAATAAAGAGTCTAAATTATTAATCCTTCCTTTCACATATTGACAAGCACTTCAATTCTACCCACCGCACAGCCTCAGATCCTCTGGGCACCCTCTCTGGAAACTCATCAAGTGTTTAACATGTCTCTCAGTCTCATTTCTAACCCTTTTGTACCGAATTGGCTGGTGGCTACTTTCCTCCTCTGATTCATTAAAATAAACTGAGATGAGGTGTCTGGGTGGATCACTACAATCAGTTTCAACAAATACCTACTGGTGTGGGAAGGGTCACTCCTTGACAACCCTCACATGACGCATGATGGGTAACCCTGCCAAAGTAAAGTGTATTTAAATGCTGGTGATGTTAGGATGTTATTAGTCATACAACTATTGCTCCACTCCTATCAAAGAGTACAGTGTAGACTGGTTGTGCCGTTAAAAAAACCAACAACGCATGCAACATTCATTCCACAGGGTCAATATGTACAATTGATCCATGTGCTCATGTAGTTCCCAGCTTTCTGGAATTTCGCCGCTGGTGTGAAACAATCACAAAGAGGAACTAATAAGACAGTCTGTTTTTCTGAATTTCCCTCTGCAATTCTGTATGGATGTACTTTTATGAATGGATTTGTGGATGTATTTTTGTGTATGTGCTTGTGTATACATTTTTTCTGTTTTAACTTTTAAAAAGCCTCCGGCAGACAGGTGTTGCAAATTAGCATTTCCCTACAAACACTTAACACGGTGCATAGGGTTCTTGTCCATAAATAAGCAATTCTAATGCTACTGTGATGTGCATATCAAATAAAATGTACTATAACTGTTCCTTACTCAAAGCAACCACAGATTATTTTTGCTTTTTATAAATACACTTATAAGTCCTGTTGATTTAACTATTCTAGATTTAAATTTTGGCACAGCCTGCCATTCCAGGCATCCCAGGTTAATACCTAGAGTGAGTCAGTTTAACTAGTCACAATTTCTCACTAATTTCACGCTAGTTGATTATAAGGGTGTAACGATACATCGATCCACATTGATACATCGATTCATTGATTAACGATCCAATTACATCAATGCAAAATGAAAACATCGATCCATATCATCATCTTAAAGATACACCTTCATTTTGAAATTCACATAGCACATCCGGGTCACCATTTTAGTGAACAGGTCTATTTTTATTATTTTTTGTTACAGAAGAATACTGTTTTTCATTTAAATGCCTGATACCTGGAAGAGCTCAGAAATAAAATGGTCAAATCATATTCTAGTTGTTTTTGTGAGTTGATGTAAATGATTGCGTTTGATGGGCATATGATATTGCGTCATATCGATTGCAGGGTCCTGAATCGAATCGAAATCGTATCGTGACAGACTTTGTGATATCGGCAAACATCGTATTGTCTTCCAAACAAATCGATATAATATCGTATCGTGATGAAGCTGGTGATTTACACCCCTAGTTGATAATGTGCGATATTGGGAAACGTTGCCGCCTGCTAAATGCCTTCATTTCAGGATATGAAAGGAAAGAGAAATTGTTTTTGCATCATAACTTGAGGAACTCTTAATGGACTAGCACACCTAATACTAATGTGCTGCAAGCTGCAAGGTGACTCAAAAAAAATGAGACCAAGGTCAATAAAGATCAGTTTCATAAGATCATTTTTGCATGACTAAGACAAGTCTGGAAATATACAGGTGATTTCTATCTTGCTCAGCAATCGATCCGTGACCAAACATTTCTCTTTAGCTTGGGTTCTTAAGCCTTGGACTGTCTCTGAAACTGGGCTGTACGAGAGATAAAAAACTGTCCCTGGCTATGAGAGTTTGGAGGCTAGTAATCTTATTGGAAGCTCAGTGAGCCTTCTGCTGCTCACTACTGAAACTGGACTCCTCTGTCACCTTGTCAAAATTTTCAATGGGAGAGGGAGGAGACTGGGGGACAGCTGGCTCTTCTCCCAATGGGATCCCCCCTCCTTGTAACCACAACTGGTGAGCAGACAAGGCTTGATTGACAATGCTCACCGACAAACAAAAGGTAGGATCTTGACGTCACCCCACACACACTCTACACAGCTGAGAGACAGAGATTATGTAACAGCTCAGGGTCTTAAATATAGAGCGGCAGTTTCACTCAGTCACTCCCAGCGTCCTGCCTGGAGGAAAGGTTAGAGCAACTACTCTGCCCAGAAGGGTATAGGAGTCAAACCAGAGGCTGGGACTAACAGAAGCACGTGTGATAAGTGTGTTTATCAGTGACTGAAAAATATCTTAGGTAAACAAAACTTCACACACAGCCTGGAGTAAGAAACTTTGTTTATAGGAAGGACACAGTATTATGTCTGCTAGTGACATTGAAACTGCTATGTGGAAGAGGCTCTGCATTTATTCTAAAAAAAAAAAAAAAATACTGAAGTTAGCATTTGTTAATATTTTCCACTCTGTTCTTTTCTGCACATTTAAGAAGCAAGTGTTGGCATTTTTTGTTTTGACCACAAATAAACAATAAAAATTGAGATACATTAACTTTCTCTTATGAAAAACTGGAATCATCTGAAGCAGTAAACTATTATTCGACCACCACATGTATACCGTCCTTGTTCTCAATCTGTGAATCACATGATTTTTCAGTAAGAGTTCAAAGAAAAAACATTTTATGGTCAAACAATGATACGTAACTACAAAAAAAAAACAAACAAAAAAAAAAACAGCTGACTAATAAAACTCCTGAACAGATAACAGCTGATAGGGCAGAAAGGGTGAGTGCAACAAGACAGATAGCAGGGACACGATACCTCCGCTGCTTGTACAGAGTTCAAGGAAGGAAAGCATGTAGTCACAGATTAATGTTACTTGCTTGAGAGAGAGAGGGAACATCTTATGAGTGAATGTTTCAGTAGTGGATGACACAAGTTGATATGAGGGTCGTTCAGTGCCAGTAGTCTGGGCTGAGGGGTCAGTGGAATAACACACCAGATTACAGCCAAAGGAAGGTGACAGCCAGCATGCAAGGCAGGTTGTTTTATCATTGACTCAGAGTGTTTCAGCAGGCTGGCCAAAGAAAGCATACTCAGCCTGCAGGTGGTATGATCATGAGATACTCAGTTAAATATTACATTTCCTATCACATGCTAAAATGTTGAAATCTACCAACTGAGATTACACAATTTAATCAGATGATAGATGTCTGAATCCACACTAAAATCATCTGTTTCTGCAGTGTTAAACTGTTGGAGAACATGCAACATATTTTGAAGACCTCATCAAATGATGTGATGTTAGATTATCAGCTGAAATCTTAACCTGAAGGTCAATGGGGGTGGTGAAGAAACACTAAGTTGAAGCCTAGTTTTAAGGGAAATCACAGTGTTTGTAAGCGATCGGTCACATATAGATTTTATTAATAGCTCCCAGGCGACAGAGGCCAAGTCGAGCCGTCTCACCAAGTTAACGCCGTCCAATCACTATTGGTTGAAGAAGCATGTTCAGGCGACAATACCAGGCCAGCACCGGGAGCAACGGTTCCTTTGCTAGCATTAGCTTACAAGTCACAAGTTCACCAACTGAACAACGTAGACATTAACGTAACAGCATACCAACATACAACAGTAATAAATCAAGGCTACTCTTAAAACCCATTTAACAAGTATTAGCTATGCTCTTGGTTAACAGCATTCTACAATGTGGTTGACAGAGCTAAGCCAGCTAACGTTAACTAGCTTGCCGTTACGTCGTTAGCCGGCTAACCGAACGTTAGCTTCCGCGGGCAGCAGCCACAACTTTGACTTCCACAGTAGCCTCGATGGCCTTTTTCGGGTCCTCTTACCTTTGAATTGAGTAGTTTAGGTGCTAACCGGCTGACAGTCAGGAAGGACATGGTGTCTGTGTGAATGTGTTATCTCCACTTAGTCTTTACAACTTGGGAAGCCGCTGCCAGTGCACCGCGGAGCTGGTTGAAGGTGCCCCTCCAGAAAGCAGAAGGTTGAAGAGGGATTCAGGCCCGCAAGTAGCGGTATTGCTGATTGGACGATGGGCTGGGTAGCTCAAAAGCGTATACTGATCTGATTGGCTAGGGAGCTGCTGGGTGTACGCTGATTGGATAAAAGCACTCCCAGTGTGTGACGACAGCTGGAGATCAGGGTCTGTTCAAGAACAAGCTTTAAGAAGTCGCTTCACTTAACTGTTGAGTTGCAGCAAAACAGCTATGATAGAGTTAATAAAACCCTCGCTCCAGTGACCCTTGCTCTGGATAATGTAACAAGGATTCTCCTTTGCATTAATATTTATTTATCTGGTATAAGTACCGGTGTTTTGTCTGCACAGGTGCAGTTTAATGTACACTTGGATGTGACTCCAATATATTGGACTCTGAGCTTTAACCCTGAAAATGTGCAATCAAGATCAATAAGGGACATTAAAATGAAGATATGTTTATCTGAATTTAATAACAGATTCATCTCTGATAGAAAATAGTATTATGTATTTGATTTTTTTTTGCAAGTTATCCTAAGCTGTATTTATATTTTTTTATATCTATAATGTTATCTTATTGACATTCTTACAATTGATCCATTTATTGAATCTGCCAGCAGTGACTGAGGCTAATATCACTGGCCATGATCTTTATAGCTATTTACAGCAGTAATAGCAGATGATATTGAATGCCACAGCAGTACTTTCGCAGAGATCAAAGTCAGTATTTACCAAGCGTGGCGCATGATAATTTTTTCCCCCATGATAATAATTAGCCCTCCAAATGGCTCCGTTAGATTACAGTCTTGATGATTGGTGAAGGAACCAAGGTAGATTATTGCTGTAAAACAAGAAGTTCAAACTTTATTGTCAAGAATTGTTGGAAAAAAGGAGTAGCCGGTCGTCTAGAGTCAAGGGCATTCGTTTCTAAACCAACTGCATGCAGTTTACCAGTATGGTTTGGCTGACAGTTTGATGGTCAAACCCACCTACCTATGCGGACTGGAATGCAATGGCTCAACAGTTTGTCCAAAGAAATAATTTAATTCTGCAATACACAAGAAATGCCGAGATTTACCAAAACAGAAACATACTGGTCTTCCAAATACAGTAAATAGACAGATCTATGTAGACGTTCTTGTGATGATCCTTGATTCGTAGCTTGTGTTGTAAATAGTCACAGTTGCATACTCATTCTTAATCACATAATGCAAGTAATGCTAATAAAACCAGTGGTCCACAAAGTCCACAAAATGTATTTGGCACATTTAGAATGATCCATATGCTCCATTTAACTTTATTTGAGCCGGGAACACACTGAGGAAAAGACCCAAAATGACTCTGATTTTACGACATCTTAAAGACGGTGGGGAGTCTGCCCAGAACAGCGAGCAGTAGGGCCAGTTTTAAAGTCTTGGAGATTAGAATTCAGATGTCTTTTATCAGTTGTTTAATTTTGTATGACTGGAATCTGCATAAAGCTGAAAGAGATCCTGTGGTCTGTGCTGGTTTATTCAGAAATCTGTATGGAAAATTTCAAGCATTTTATGCAGTTGTTAAATGTGTCATAGTCGTATCGTTAAGGGACTGCTCTTTTTTCTGAGGGAGGAGGGGGTTGCAAAATGGGGGAGGCGTGTCAAATAATGTTTTAAGCGCTGGGGAGGGATTAAGTTTTATCATAGCCACAAACTGTATAAACATAAATGATCATACCTATATTTATATTTACTTTATCAGTCCATGTTGGCCTCCGTATTACATATTGAACCACACTTTTATGTTATTTTCTGCTTTCTGACTGGTCCCTGAAATGACTAAATAAAAAGAGAATCAAAGCAAACAAACAAAAAAAAAAAACAGAAATTATGACTGGATTTCAAATTCTGATGGTCCACGAACACATCATGTGGGACTAATGGCTCATTTATGCTCCCTTTATGTACGAAAATAGATACACTCATTTTAAATGTTGTAAACTTCCCTGCCCTCATATGTCCATGCATCCTTGTGTTGGCATAAATATAGCCAATAGATGAAACAAGAGGGCGGAGTCACAAGTTTCTCACAATAACAAACGAGACAATGGTGATAATGTAGCTTCTAACAGAGGCTGAGGCGTAGATGGCGGTGGTCTGTGAGGCCATTAAATACATTGCGACATGTGGACGGAGAATTTTTTTCACTGTATTACCAATTCATTTTGTTCTGTCTTTTTTTTTTTAAAGATATCCATGGTCTCCTATGGTCATATTTCGCTTGAACGACACTACACTGTCCCCACGGTCTTCAATAGTACAGCTCAGTTTCATCCATATCCGTAAGCTTTAAGCAATTGTGCACAAATATGGACGAAATGAAAGCAGAGTACGGACAGAAGGCTGAGCATACAGTGAGCATAAATGAGCCCAAAGGCTTCCATCTTAAAAATCACTTTTTTCTACGTGTCTTATTTAAAATTTGATCAAAAACAAACCAAAGCCACACCCCAGCCACCCTCCCCCTCTGATAAATAAAGAACAGTCCCTAGGGAGTTTTTAAGTCTTCCAGTGGGTTCCCGGCTGTTGGCAGATTTTGCACTTTTAACCCTGATGGGCCAGATTTAGATCTGCAAAACACAGAGAATGCAATGTAAACTAATCCACATCATGCAGCCATTACGACATGCATGTTTTTAAAATCTTTGTAAACCTTTGGCAGAATCAGTAGCCTTCTAGTCCACGTCATCTCAAGTGGATTTTGTAAACAAACAGGGCCTTAAATATACAGTATAACAGCAGAAATAATCGTGTGCAACAAGGTATACAGTACATCAATTTTTCCAGAAGTTGCAGGAGGTGATCTGATGTGTTTGGTCCCCACTCCTGTGCTCTTGTGCCTGGTAATCCGACCCAAAGTAATGCATAAGATGGCATACAGTCCAAAGATAGTCCCTCCAGAAGGATGGAAGGGGCTCTGAGCTCAGTCGTCTTCTTCCTCGTCATCCTCTACAGGCTCTATGAGGATGCTGTGCTTCAAGCAGGTCTGGAGGTAGTTCACCACTGTCCGCTGGAAGTGCTGGATGCTGCGCGGCTCTCTCAGGACGTGGCCCTCGTCTGGGTACAGCTGCAGCGAGTAGTTGGCCTCAACCTTCACTAGTCGGCTCAGGAGCTCAGCGCTGTGCTGGAAGTGTACTCTCGCTTTGGGCAAACACAACCACCAATTAAAAATAGATTTGAAAAAATAAACTAAAAAATCAAAAACGAAAAAATTGAAGAAAACCTTACCATCTGCGGTTCCATGTAGAATAAGGAAGTTCTCATCTTTCAGCTTGTTAACCTCCTCAAGCAAAGAGGCAGTCTGAGAACGACATAGCATCACAATATGAGTGTTTTATTAAGTACACCGAGCTAGAACTAATGCAGCCCTGCAAGAAATCCCACAGTCATAAAAGTTTAAATATTCATTTTTTGATGAAACTGTCAGACTGCATCAGTTTTGGGTAATAAACCTGAGTGTATATCCACAGCCTCACCGAGTAAGCGTGCTCCTCCTTTGCTGGAAGGCCTAGATACCTTTCTGAGAATGCAGCACCTGAAAAAAGTAAAATAGTCACTCAAATACCTGAACTGTGCCTCTGCTTCACCACAATTTCCATGGATCCAATGTTTTAATAGTTAATGACATGATTTCAACTCACTATAAAGCCTGAAGTCAGTTATTGGTGCCACGGCAGCCGTGCACTGAAACAGCTTATCTGTTGCAGCTAACATCTTGAGAGTTAAATAACCTCCAAATGCCTGAAAGGAGAAACATAAAAGTGCTACAATAAACAAGGAATTCTCATTCCTCTTACCTGTGGCGCTGTTTATCAGTCTAGATTTGTTTGGTGTGAGTTGTTGAGCGTTGGAGATATCAGCCGCAGAGATGTTGCTGTCTCTCAGATATAATGGAACTAGATGACACTCAGCTTGTGGTGCTCAAAGCGCCAAAAAATACATTTCAAAAACTCAACAGCAATGTCTCTTTCCAGACATCATGACCTGGTTACTCAAGATAATACACAGACCTTGTTGTGAGTAGTTTCATATAGGAGCTATTGTCTCTTTACTGAACTACACCCGCCAACCATATCACAGCACTGAAGGAAGAGTGCATCTACTACTAGCCTCTTGTCCATGAGTAGATGCACACCTCCTTTTCCGTGGTGTAGTTCAGTTGAAAACTAACTTAAACTGCTCACAACATCTGAGGATTATCTTGAGTAACCAGGTCATGATTTCTGAAAGGAGACATTGCTGTTGAGTTTTCAAATGTATTTTTTTTGGCACTTTGAGCACCACAAGCTGAGTGTTATCTAGTTCCATTATATTGGAGAGAAAGCAGACCTCGCTACGGCTGATACCTCCAACACTCTGCAACTCACACTAAAAATATCTAGACTGATAAATAGCACTACAGGTAAGAGGAGAAAACTGTCCCTTCAGTTTTGTCAGTAGGAGTGTTGATTTTCCAAATCTGTAAAAATGCTGTCACCTTGCCGTAGAGGACCATCCGGCGATCATCAATGTATGGTAGTTGCATCAACAACCTGTGTAAATGTCATAAAGTCCTGTTAGTTAACCAACTTACAGGTATTACTCTCACGTGTCAACCATATATGTTGTTGCATAACTGCACTGACTCTACAACTCCCAGATAATCTTTGACTCTGATTGAGCCAAGCTTGCGTGAATCCACAGCGGTGGTCTTCTGTCCACGTCCGACCCCACTCCTGCCGTCCACCCAGGCCAAGGCCACATTGTGTGTGCCGGAGAGGACCTGAGGCCAGTCGAGGGCGAATTCCTCTGTCACTGACTGACTGCCGGGCACACCATCCCTGAGGGACAGGACAAACAGGATCAACCGGTATGGTGACAGATATTGGGTGTGGAAGAGGGAGGAAAGGTCAGAAAAAGGTCAGAGATCACAGGATGGAAAGCAGGTGACGTTGAATAACTCCTGTTGAGTGACACTTACACAATGATGAGGAGAGGGTGCAGGTTGGCCTCGTAACCCTGAGGTAGAGATAATTTCAGGTGTAGGTCTAAAAGGAAAGAAAACAGAGGTCAAACGAGATCAGACATGTCAGGGTTGCTGCTCTGCCTGAAATACATCTGAACCTCTGACACACATTACCTGAAGACATTATTTTTGTTTTAAGCGTTTTCTAAAATGTTACTTTAAAAATGCAAACCAGACATTATGGCAAATAATATGCGCTTAAAATATGAGATCAGAAATCTGAACACTGTATGAAGCCAGGCTCAACATTCTTGTTTCATTTTGCTGACATATTAGAGTCAAAGATGTTCATAGAGTGAATTTTTGATATATCTTTATCACTGAATAAATCAGTAAATACGGTCAACAGCCTTAACAACACCCTTTAACCCTCCGTGAAAACCTTCAGAATATAGATAGGAATAAAATGGGAAAGTTTGGTGTGTGTAAGAGCTACTCTAGTGAAGATTTCTTATTCAGAGTGTGAGAAAAACCCATTTTGAGAGAAAGATCTTTCATGGTATGTACTGCAAAATTCCACACATTTTTAAAGAAAAAACAAGACACTACAGGTGAGTTGCGTAAAACTTTAGCTAATAGATGTCACCACAAATCTGAACCTGAAAAAAGTAAAATAGTCACTCAAATACCTGAACTGTGCCTCTGCTTCACCACAATTTCCATGGATCCAATGTTTTAATAGTTAATGACATGATTTCAACTCACTATAAAGCCTGAAGTCAGTTATTGGTGCCACGGCAGCCGTGCACTGAAACAGCTTATCTGTTGCAGCTAACATCTTGAGAGTTAAATAACCTCCAAATGCCTGAAAGGAGAAACATAAAAGTGCTACAATAAACAAGGAATTCTCATTCCTCTTACCTGTGGCGCTGTTTATCAGTCTAGATTTGTTTGGTGTGAGTTGTTGAGCGTTGGAGATATCAGCCGCAGAGATGTTGCTGTCTCTCAGATATAATGGAACTAGATGACACTCAGCTTGTGGTGCTCAAAGCGCCAAAAAATACATTTCAAAAACTCAACAGCAATGTCTCTTTCCAGACATCATGACCTGGTTACTCAAGATAATACACAGACCTTGTTGTGAGTAGTTTCATATAGGAGCTATTGTCTCTTTACTGAACTACACCCGCCAACCATATCACAGCACTGAAGGAAGAGTGCATCTACTACTAGCCTCTTGTCCATGAGTAGATGCACACCTCCTTTTCCGTGGTGTAGTTCAGTTGAAAACTAACTTAAACTGCTCACAACAACATCTGAGGATTATCTTGAGTAACCAGGTCATGATTTCTGAAAGGAGACATTATTGTTGAGTTTTTGTGGATGTCACCACAAATCTTCCCCAGTTGTTTACTTACATTTTTTGTATCACAAGTTTTCTGAAATGATGTTTAAATATGCAAATGATGCATTATCTAAAAATAAAATCTGCCCTTTTTGAATACATTTCCAGAATAGAAATCTAAACCAAAAGAAACACCTAAATGTGTATTTTAGATATTTTCTTTCCACTAATCTAAAAGAAGCCAAATAGCCCAAAATCTCAAAATTGACCAGTGCAGCTGCAGTGCGTACTTGGAGTCTTGAATTCTTTATCTAAACATGAACAAACATGCACAACCACTCTGGAAGAATACTTGGCACTGGTCCTTGAGGGCAGACATGACTAATTACCTAATCACCAAATAGAGAAAATTAGTTGGTACTTAACTTATTTGTCTCTTCCAGGCTGAGATACTTGCAGCCGGTGCTTAATATAGTCTGACTGCTTGATGAAGGCACTTAAGGTGATCTGTGAGTGTGCGTATTTGTGTGGCCATTGTTCTCAATGCCAAACCCAGTGGCGTAAGGTCGTTACGACGGGCCCCAGTGCTCGCTGTCATGCATATATTGTCTCGTCACATGATCAGAGACTTGACATTGGATAACATCAACACACAAAATACCCAGCAATGATCACTGCGTATCTGTATACGACAAGAAATACCCCAGAAAATAAATTAAGAAAGTATTGAGTTCTTTTTTGAACATAGGCATAATGTCAAGGCGGAAATCACTCATAAGGGGCCTTCTCCACCCACTGTCTCTAGGGCCCCCCCACCTCACAGGCCCCAGTGCAACCGCCTTGCCTACACTGTCTGTATCTATGCCCCTGCGTCACGACAGCCACCATCTCCTTCACCCGCTGATGACTGAGTCAGCTTACGTTACACGATTTTCACTGCAATTTTGACGTCGCAGAGGATCTTGAGAAACACAGTCAGAGTTGAGTCGGCAGATAGTCTGCCAAGATGAGTCCTCATGTGTGAACAAGCCTACGAGCAAGTCACCCCCTCGTCTGTGACTGGGACTGGATATCTGGCTTGCCAGAAAACTGGAGATGTCTGACACGACTGACAAAGATCATCAGCCAATGAGAGGTGGGATACGTCCCACGTCAGCACGCAGGAGGACGGAAGAAATGTGCTGGCTAGCAACAACAATGGCGGCGTCCACAGGATCACGGGGAGCGCGTTGTGTTTGGACCCAGGCCCTGGAGGCAGATCTGATTCAACACTGGAAAGGATATCCATGCCTTTAGGATGTGTTGTCTCCAAGTTAAAAAACGTAGTTTGGTGATGTCACCGCGTTATCTGGGGCTCTGTCCGCGAGCGCTAGGTGGAGAATTCTTGTGGTGTGCACACACACATGTCGTAACGCAGTTGGCGAGACTCCCGCTGACAGAAACACACATCGCCAGGTATGAACACTCAAAAGATTACCATAGTCTTGACGACGCAAAATCAGGGTGAAAAACGTGTAATGTGAACTAGCCTTTACAGACTGCGTCACTTTAGAAACCTTGATTTGATATGATATCTATAAAATGTAAAAGGTAACATATTCATGGTTTGCAGAAACGTCCAATGCCAACATTTTCCACTGTCTCTATGGGCCCCCACCTCACAGGCTCCAGTGCAACCACCCTGCCTGCACTGTCTATATTTACACCCCTGTTCAAACCACATTAAATGTTTTCTCTGCTTACCATGGTTTTCTGCTGGGAGTGTCCTGAACAGAGTCTCAGGGAGCCTCTTGTCTTCCAGAGCTCTAGACAGAGGGCTGTTATCCTCCAATACGACGTATCCTACAGGAGATAAAAACACCAGTGTGTCAGATTGTATGACTTAACATCAAAACGGACACACAAGGCCGTCACATTGCAGGCCAAATCCTCATCATCTCCATTTACACAGCTTTAACTGAGAGCCACAGACAGAGGGCAGTGTTCACATGCTTGGAATTGATGATTTTATAATGTGGTGTACTTGAATACATCCCCCTCTGGAGGCGGTAGCAGGAAACTACAGACAGCCTGTGTGTCTGGGAGCTGTGTGTCTGTGTGTGTGTGGTTATGCCATTAGTTAGACAAGCAGTTGTAACACTCACTGGAGGGGTCCTTTGTACTGTGAACCGTCACTTTAGGGATTCCTGGGCCTGGGGAGTTTTTCAAAAGAAAACATCATAGAATCAACTGTCTGAGCAGCGTGAAGCTTGAAAGCACATTCGCTCGTGTGTGTGTCTGTGTCCCATTTACCTAGACAGTAGAGGGTGAAGTGGGTTTGATTGGGGCTGAATTCAGCTCTAAAGAAGCGACATCCATCTATGAGGTTACAGGAGATGCAGCGGCGCTGAAACACTCCATCCAGGTCCACACTTAGAAATAAAGAGTAAAGGGTTATTGACCACATGGTAGAAGAATAGGACAGCTTAAAGCTGTTTGATTTGCTCCAGGAGAAGGTCAATTAATTGCCGAGATATTAAGGAAAAGTGTCAGTGTCTTGAGACAAACTATTCCAGCAGTTGACTTTTAAGAAACAAATGGGGTTCAATAAGGCTCGACATAAAAGCCGTTATACAGATTGCTCTTTGAGGCAGTGTCGAGTCTCTAAATGACCCTCTCTGTTCCGCTGCTTACAAATTTCATACAGGATTAATCACAGACTGGGTTTAAACAAGCCATCGTCCCTCCTCCATAATATTGTGCTATCTCCTGAAGCCTAAAGCTATGTAAGCTAATAAAAAGATATGAAACCTCTGAGGTTGATGGGGAAACAGACAAGTGTGTTCATCACAGTGGGGACCATAAGTCTCAGTGGTTCTTGTCAACAGAGAAGTGTTTTTTTCCTGTTATAAATGTGTCAATTGAGCTTCGGGCCTCGAGCATCTACAGCTCACAAGAATAAAGATTCACATGTCAACACATTAGCGCGCAGTTAGTCTTCTGAATGCTTTTTTAGCCATGCTAGCAGCGTGGCTCCAGGGCCATGGTGATGTTGGATAGTTGGTCCCCCACTTTGGACAAAACTTAAATATCTAAAAACTGCTGGGTAGAGAGACCTGAAATTTGGTGCAGATATCCAAAGTGTCCATAGGATGAACCTTAGAGACTGTTTACACGTGGCCGACATTTCACCGTCTCCGTTTTCAAAAAGATCTTCGTTTACACTTGCACATGCCCTTCGTATACACAAGAGCATGCCAAACCTGTAGGTGGCAGTGTAACGAGAAGCTCAAGCCTTCCATGTATACATTTTCACCATAGCAACATAGGTCGCAGATTTGACAAAGGCGCAAGTTCTGGCGCATACTGTGACGTCGGCTGCCTATAACTCCGTTTATCTCCGTTTATCTCAGTTTACATGCAAATGCGCAACCGGAGTTTTCCAAAATCTCCACTCTGGCCGGAGTTTTTAGAAAGACTTTTTAGAAAGTTTTCACTTATTCACTGAAATCTGAGTATCTTCAAGATGGATTGACACACATCTTTTAAAGACATTTATGGTTCCCAGACAATGACTCTTAATGACTTTGGCAGTGGTGCCCAAATAAATTCTTCATAGGATTGGCCATATGGCACCAGTACAGTTAACATTTTGAGTTCCACAACAATCCTGTTTAAATGTCTTATATATCTGTATATACATGTTAGGGGATTCATTATTCTTCAAATAAGCTGGTTCTCTTTTTCCTTTAAAGACACATATACAGCTTTAATTTGATGGAGTACATTGATTGTAAGGAACAAAGCATTTACTGGGAATAAGTCTTCTCAAGTTTAGAGGATAATCTTGAGGCGAAAGTTCAAAGGGCCCCTTTGAATATGCCCATGCCAGTTTTTCCCTTGCCAAAATTTAGCCTAACTTTGGAGTGTTATTTAGCCCCCTTCCCGACAAGCTGTGCAAACGATGCCTTAGGTTGTCTAGTTTCACAAGATACCACTACCTTAAAAAATGAGCATGTCACAGCCTTCTAAAGCCTCTGAATGTTCCTGTGATGCCACCATGAGATTCACGTGTAGTTTTGAGTTAAATATTTCAACAATCATTGAATGGAATGGATTAAACTTATTATCTGGCACCATCATCAAGTCTTTTTTGTCCAATACTTTGTTTTATAACCAGATACCTGCAAAACTAATGACATTCTAAGCTGTCATAAGCCTCAGCTGCACTTTGCGTTTAGTGCTAATTATCAAATTGCAAGTCACACCTGCTACACTTCAGGATGTTACCACTGTTATGAAGAGCATTTTAGTATGCTGATGTTAGCATTTAGCTCAAAGCACCATGGTGCCTTGGCTGTAGACTCTTGTTTTACGTTAATAACAAGACAAGCTAATAATAAACCAGCTGTGGTGTTGATACTATGCTAGCTTTCTGAGTATTGCGATGCACACAGAGATGCCATGGGGCAGTGAAATTTGATGTTAAAATGGAGCTCAGACGGTGAACAAAAGCCTAAATATTTTTCAAGTGAATACAAATTTTAGATGACATTCAGTCAAGATGTTTTGTGGAAGCTAATCAGCCCCCCAGGGAAGCTGCTCAGCCTTGCAGAAAATTTTCCCAGTGGCCACTTGCGGTATTGCATCGAAATAATGCCCTGCATTTTCCCAACAGACAACCATTGTAAAAGAGATGTCTATGAAACTGTTGACAGGACACCTCCAACTGCAAGTAAGATCAATCATGAATCTTTCTGTTGTGAATTTTTGAGTCATGGTGGTTTTATATTTGTAAAACTTTCCTTAAGCCGAGAAAAGCGATTAAAAAATCTGAGCTGTCATCACATTGTAAAGTCTATAAGCCAAGCGGGAACCCGCGGGTGGGGCCAGTGGGAGAAACACTACTGTGCATAATAAGTGGGCTCCATACGGCAGAAGTTAAAAAGTTAGAAAACACTTTTGGCTTATGGGCCAGGCGAGCAACTCCACTGGAATGAATAGGCGCCATCTTGGAGTCCGATAGTAATTATTATGAGCACTTTAATGGCGACTCAGCGATAATGTAGCTGGTCACGCTGTTGATGCGTCGCTTGTAGTGTGAACACAGCATCACGAATAATGCCTGTATTGTGTCTTTTTTATTGTTTTTTTTTTTTTTTTTAATTTTTATACAGAAACTGTACTCTCATTTTTCACAGGAATCCATGCTTACCTGTAAAGGTGTCTGCTTTGTCTGGATTCCTCTGTGCTCAGGAAATAGCTGATGGTGAGAAAAATGAACCACAGACACAGCAAGTTGGTCAGCACTATTGAAGAACTGCAGATCACCTTTGGCTCTCTTAACTTCATCATAATTATTCTGGTTATCAATTATTCATAGCAATAATACACAGATTTACATAGTTCAGCATGCTAATAAATTCACTTCATTACGTTTTAATTTGTAAAGAGCCATTAGTGGCGGTGCATTAAATCAATTGTGAAGCGGATGTGCATCACATGCCGACTATCCACCTCCATATGAATATGAGTAGAGTACTGTGAGGCAGACAGACTTGTGTGGAGGCAGATAACAGTATTAGTATGTGGGCTTTGGAGCCGCAAACGTCTGACTAGATCAACAATCGACTTTCCTTGATTCTCTGTGATGCTCACACCTCAGTCAGTCAGTTCACGAGGGGTTTCTGCCCCCAGCTGGATAAATACAGATTTAAGTGATAATCTGCTCTGTTCAAGTGTAAGTAATCCTTTAGCCTCCTCAGTGGCAAGGCATTGCCACAAGCACAGTCAGGGTTAAAGCCGTTTCCTTTGGCTTTTTAAAGGAGATCAATGCTACATGTTAAAATGGCCCTTTTAGTTATTTTTAAATAGGCAATCTTGTGTGTACTACTCACTCAAAGTCTGGCCTAACAAAGGAATTTGCTCTCAGCTTACGGCAAGAGATGATCATTCTAATGATGGCCACTATTCAACCCTAACCCCTCCCAAACCCCCCCTCCTGTCACTTGTACATTCATAGTAAGGCGCCGCAAGCTGTTAAAGGCACTGAAAAGTGATTCACTGCGGCTCTCACATACATTTTTCCAGCCTTCTCGTCGAGGGCGCAGAGCACGGTGACGTCCCAGCTCCCCGATGTCAGGAAGCGAGGGGGGACGGAGGGGATGGCAGGCTGTGTTACACAGAGAAACAGAGATGAAGAGCAATGTAGAAGCAGACAGATATACAGAATAAAAATAGGTGCAGCGATACAGCAAGTGTGTGTGTCAGAGACTGGGGGAAAAAACTGAAGATAGGTTCATAAAGTTAAACCACATGAAGGCACTGATGGCTACAGAGAGAGCTCAGAAACAGTACGTTTAAAAATTGTGCACTTTGACACTTAAATTAGTGAGACTTGGGAGCAAGGGCTTAGGTTTTGTTTTTACATTTGGGGGGACACATATAAAACGGAGGGTTTGGGGGTCCTTTTGAGCTTCAAAACCTTAATTTCCTGCATTCTGGTGATAATCAATTTATGGTGGAAATGTTTTTAATTTCATCAAAATTGAAGTCTTCTGCTACTTGCATGTATGTTGTAAATATTGAGGGGGTTGTGTCCCCTGTCCCCGCCCTGAAATCTTCACTTATGGCAATTACTATTCTACTATAAGGCAGACCATCACAAGCAAATAAGTGTAAATGTATTTCCCAAAATGTCCGACTACTCATTTACTCAGGGAAATAGATGTTGGATGTTGTCTAAAAAATAAAGTTTATTTAAATGGGAGGATCACCCCAGACCCCATACAGATGTCCAAGCAAAGCCCCTGATGTACTCAAATCCTAGAAACGCCTCTGCCCTTCTTACTGCTGAATGCACATTCTCATCTATAGAACGTTTCCAAAAAAAAAAAGCATCATTAAACATTTTTAATTGCCCCGCTGGGGATGAATAAATTGCTAAATTGAAATGAAGTGAACTGTATTTCCTCCATAATATAAAGGGCAAATGACCATAAAAGTATTAATGGGTGAAATGACTCCTTAGATAAAGGTGGTGTTTTAGTAATAAGGGAGAAAAACAAATGCAAACAAATTGCTTCAATAATAAGAGAGGCGGAGGAGGAGGATGCAGAGAAGGGGGAGAAGGAGGAGATCGTAAGCAAACCAGACATTAAGGATCTGTACTGCTGAGATCTGTAATCACACTGTTTTATGTGACCCCCTGTTGAAATGTTAATGACCACTTTTGTCTGAAATTATTCAAGGATGACTTTAGGAAGTAAAAGTTAACTGCACTCAGAACTGACCTGGGCTGAGAGGCCGGCGATGTGGTGGAACTCTCCACGAGCGCCCTGTTTCGCTGGCAGGACTGTATAGAACACAGAGCTGTCTGCTGAAAACAGCGGCACATCCTGTTGGAGAAAAGTATTGGGTTAAAAAAGAAAGACAGTAGTGGTAAACAGGGGAAATAAAACGTTGTGAAACATGAGGAACACATACCTGTCGTTGGTTTTGCATTATGTCCATGGCCATTTTGTGCTTCTGTTGATTTAAAATCACATAATATGGAGAAATGTATTAGAAGCCTAATTAATAAAGCTAAAGCTATTCAAGCAGCATTGTCTAAATAAAGCTTTTCATGTTTATTAATTATTAAATAGAGAAATAATAAAACACTGGCAATGGCATACTGAAATCTGTGAGGATTAACAGAAAGGGAACAAGCAATAAAGCACTGCAGTACATCACTGAGAATTCTTCTCATGCAGCAAAATGACCTTAAATATTAATCCGGCCAGTAGACATTTGAGAGCTTAAGGAAATCAATCCTAACTCTCAACACAGCGTAAAAGAAGCACAAATTCTATTAAAGCCGTATATTGCAGCGGCAGCCGTTTGTGGCTTACTAATGTGGAACGACTGATGACCGCTCACCTCCGAGCAGGCCCCTGTGGTGGCCTCTCACACACAGAGCACTGATTGGTTCTGGGCTCGATTTAGCCAACGAACCGCGAGGCGTGTGCTGCTGATCCAAGTCACCATGGAGATGTAGCTGTCTCTGAAGAGGCCATGCAGAAAATGATACACGGGGAGAGTGATTGGAAAGTGGTGCATAGGAGTGGAAAAAAAGAAGATGTGAGTTATAATATCTGACAGGTGGTGTCTAACGTCTTTAAGGTTTATTCTGTTTTTATATTCATCACAAAGATGTAGTACCTGGCCCTGAGGGAGTCAGGAGGCATCATCTCCAGAGTGTGAGCTGGACCATAAAGATTCACCACGAACAGACTGACTGATGGAATACTTGAGCCAGCCTGTGAGCACAACAAAGAGAAAGAAATGAGCAATTAAACTAAATGTTAAGAGTTTTAGCAATGCTAGCAGTAATGGAACTGCTGATCTGTCAGTCTACCACTTTGGTCCTGTCTGACAACTATTTGATGCATTGCCATGAAATTTGGTGCAGATGTGCCCAGTGCCCAAAGACGGAATCCCATAGACTCTTGTGATCCTTTGACTTTACCCTTAGCCCGACTAGCAGGTCAAATTTTTCAATTATCAAGTTAAATATGTCATCATCTTCTGGATTGAATGGCACAAGATTTTGTTTACAGACAATCATGGTGCCAAGAAGATTAATTGTAGGGATCGCCTGACTTTTCTTCTCTTGCCACCATGAGGTAGACTTTTAGGTTTGAGTGGTTGTTTCAACTCATTCATTCATTCATTTATCTTCTAACCGCTTCATCCTCTTGAGGGTCGCGGGGGGGGCTGGAGCCTATCCCAGCTGACATCAGGCAAGAGGCAGGGTACACCCTGGACAGGTCGCCAGACTATCGCAGGGCTGACACATAGAGACAAACAACCATTCATGCTCACATTCACACCTACGGACAATTTAGAGTTATCAATTAACCTAGTCCCCAATCTGCATGTCTTTGGACTGTGTGAGGAAGCTGGAGTGCCCGGAGAGAACCCACGCTGACACGGGGAGAACATGCAAACTCCACACAGAAGGGCTCCCACACCTGGAATCGAACCGGCAACCCTCTTGCTGTGAGGCAACAGTGCTAACCACCACACCACCGTGCCGCCCGTTGTTTCAACTGAATACCACAAATCAATAATTTACAAGATTTAAATTTCATCTTACCGCCCTTTTCGACCCTCGCTTCAGATAAGGAAAACTCCCACCAAAAACCCGCAAACAGGAAAAAAATGGAAGAAACCTCTGGAGTAGCAACTGAGGGTGGATCCCTCTCCAAGGACGTGTAACTGGGACAGACATTCATGTTCCCCTGGTGGTTTTACATTTAAAGACTATGAGCTAAGTGGGAACTTGCGGGTGGGGCCAGCGGAAGAAACACTACTGTGCATATTCAATGGGCCGCGTATGGCGGAAGTTAACCCAGAACCTAGAAAACACTTTTGGCCAATGTGCCAGGCGGAGTGACTCGGGATGAATTGTAAAAACTTTGCATTTTAATTTGTCCAATACTCTGGTTTATAACCAACTTAAAACCAACTTGCACCAACTTGAACTCCCAATAGACTCACCTGTACTTAATGTTTAGTGTTAGCACACTAACACACCAAACTAATATTGTAGGAACCATTTTTGTTTGTTTTGTAAAAGAAATACAAGGCAGGGCAGTTCAAGTTTTAAATGACGCCATCAACGTGCATCCGTTCTCAACAGAAACAGACATAGATGTGTGACATGAGGTCATAAGCAAGCTATGCGCTAAATGATTTTGTTTTTTGAAGTCAAACAAAGGTCTAAATTGTTTTGAATACTTTGAATCAACATTCTGCAGGTTTTTGTTACAAATATAAGCACTGCACAATCGCATCCACTCCATTCACTCATTTGCACTCTTGCAACCAATAACTGTAAAGTATATAAAGATGGACAATAAGACTGCTCCCCAAAAGTGAAGCCAAAATGTTTTGATCACCCCCTGGTGGCTGGCTGCAGTAAAGGTCATATAGCCTGCCCCCTCCATGTTAGCGGATGGGACATGGCCCAAACTGAAAAATCAAAGTAAGTGTCAAATAAATTTTTGCCAAATTTGATTTCTGTCATCTTAGGTAGTTCTTATCTTGTAATTGTATGATCAACTGTTCGTTCTTCTGATACATTTGGTGTTAATTAATTATTTGATTGCTATAAAAAGAGGGTGTTAGATCATGACTGACAGCTGTGTGTGCCAATTGGTGTGTTCAGGAACTCAGTACCGCAGAGATCGCTATTGCGCAGACTCTTGTACAAAATGCTGCAACAGTTAAAAATGGCAGTGCTCCTATCTAAGATATTTTGGCTTCATTTTTGTACAGTGAGAGGAAGTGGATACGCATTGTCAATCTTTATATACAGACATTGACTGGACGCCATGACAAATGCTGTGAACATGTGAACATTACACCTGCTAAACAGCAGAATGTTAAGTACAGCCTTACAGAGCTGCTGGTGTGGCGATAGAGATTAATCTTGTTTCAATCCATTTTTACCTTGGGGTAGGGGAAAAGGACGTTGGAGGGATAGAGGCCACCCAAGAAGTGAGGTATTTCCATCACAGGTGTGTTAGAGTTGTTGATGGTTAGGTATGCCAGCCGGGCCCCGTCCACAGACCACCAGTGAGCCACATATGTCAAGAGCACTTCCTCTGTTTTAAGAGACAATATAGGTTGTTTTGTCAAACTTAAAGCGTACACCTGCTGCTCATGATTGTTGTTGTCAGCTCTGTTTTGCAGATGCTTCACTCTGCTTCTCTCCTCTAAGTGCTGGAAAACAACCTACCTTCATAAGTCCAGTCAGAGAGCCCGTTCACCACAGTCTGCTCCAGGTCGGTGGTTGTGAGACGCAGGGCTTTGCTGGTCACACTCGGCTTGTAGTAGATATCTCCGTCAAACACATAGGCCTGGCATAAGCGGCACAGACACACAGCGCCAATCCATTATATCAAAGACAGTGCGCTTGAAGGCTTCATAGCTGGCCGCCCGAATCGAGCGTCGGACGTCGTCCAAAAGTAAATGAATCATCGGCCAGCATACACGTAAGTGAGAGCCAATACGTCTTTACTTGCCAGTTAATATACTGCAGATGAACACCGACATAGCAGCAAAAGCCAATTACATTACAGGGAAGGTAGATGAATTATATTATGAGTGTAAAACAGGCCCATTATAGCAACACGGTCTCTGCAATAACCTCATAGCTGGAGTTCATCTCATAATGACAGAAACATGATATCATTGATGTTATTGTTATGAAAATGATGTCAAACTACTTCACCATTATGGATGGTAACAGCTGAGAAAATGTCCTTTTAATATTGACAGGTATAGCTGATTCAGATGACAGAGACGGACAACACATTGATCAGGTAAATGAGAAAGTGTCTGGCTCACCAGCTGGCTCCCCTGAGGCCCCCAGGAAGCATACTGTAGCGCTGCCTTCTCCCTCTCCAGAGGGTTAAGCTCCAGCAGCTCCCTGGAACACACACAAACACTCAGACATAAGCCCTCCGTTAGGGACCACTGTCCCGTTTAAAGCCCTCTGAGGTCCATCCATGCCCTGGCCTTGAGCTTGAGAGAGACACTTCACTGTGAGGACAAAGGAGCAAGATGCAGAGAGGGAAACTAAACAGAGAATGGAGCTGGTTCATGCAAGAGTGCAACATTACTTTTCCCATATTCCTAGCTGCACTTGTTTCCTTTCTCAGGACAGGCAAACATTTTCCTCCAAGGCATACTCAGGCAATGATCAATACTGCAGGTCCTCCTGAAAATCCTTTCCACAGCCATTACTCAGAGGCTCCAGGGATCCTCCACTGCTACCACAGAGTTTTTCCCACTGACATAATGCTGAATATGAATCTCAGGCAGTGAAATCTGAATAACATTACAAACCTCACGTTGGGATATGGAACCTGGAAAGAACACTGACGAATGAATGCATGTCGGACGGTAACATGAGGCGCTGATTCGATGAGACACACTCTGAGGGGGGCGTTTTTCAATCCGCGGGTCTGCTTGCATTGGTGACGCTCATGCCCATTGCAGCCCATGCATTAGCATTCATGATTCCACCTACCCATTAGCCACATTGTAGATAGCATAGGAGGCTGTGAAGGACTGAGAGAACACCTGAAAGAGGTAGAGGATATCATGCACACAGGTGTGCCGCACTTAGATGATAAAACACAGATTTTAGTGCTCACACATGCTCATACACATGTATAAAGAAAGTTAAATGCAAATGAAACAAAGTTTATGAAGGACACTGCTGAGACTAGGGCTGGGCAATATACTACTATTGTGTCAATATCCTGATATGAGACTAGAAATCGTCTTAGATTTTGGATATTGTAATGTGTAAGTGTTGCCTGTACTGGTTTTAAAGGTCCAGTGTGTAGGATTTGGGGGGGTATATTGGCAGAAATGGAGTATAATATACTAATGTTTTCTTTAGTGTATAATCACCTGCTTTTTTAAGTATTGTTTTTAACTAATTTTCATCATCTGGTCTGTTTGTTGTGGAGAGGAAGAGACCTCTGCAGATAATTCGGCTCCCAGCAAAAACCTCCTAAACAATGAACACTGAATCAATCCTAACCAGGAGCTCATGTTTGGCACATGGGAGAAGTTACAGCTGGCTGTAGTCTGCAATCCTCACTGCTCGACAGGCCAGCTGTGAGAAAATATGGGCAGAGGGATAACCTCAGATCCTCTAGTTTAATATGATACCTGTGTCTTTAAAACTGAGCCCAATATAGCAGGTTTTATTCGCCGACATCCGTCTGCCTCACTTCTCACCTTCAGCTCCACCTGTCATACCTGCTGCCTCTTCACATACTTTTGCAGACGTTAGGTCAGTGCCTCTTTTCTTTTTTCAGTGTCTTGTTCTCTCTGCACTCTGACATTCTGACTTTGCTCATCAGGCCGCAGTTAGTCGTGCTTGTATCTGCATAGATGTGCATCTGTCCTCTGCTGTCAGATGGACCACAAATTGCTGCACTTGCTCCAATTCAAAGGTCAACCTTTTCATGGGCCCCCCTTTGGCCTTGGGCCTGGGTCATCTGTACCCTTTGACCCCCTGACAGCCGGCCTGGTGCTAGATGCCACTAAATCGAACACACTGTTCCTTTAAAGGCTGCGATGATGTAATTCACCAGAATTGACCAGACTGTTCCAGCTGTTCTATTATTTGCTTTTACCCACTTGATCCAGGCTCAGACTACTACTTTTAAAATCCAAACTGATTTTGAAATCAGACACATCACACACATAAGGAGAACCTTCACAGATGTCCTTCTCTCTAATGTCAAACATGCACACATACTACAGAATATTATTAAGTTTATCTTTCCAGAGGGAGCATAAATGCACCACTTCATATGATCTCATGGGGAAGTAGTTGTAAACAAAATGGAGACTGACATACTGCAACAACTTTCTGTGCTGCAGTGAAAAAAACAAAGCCAGAAAGCTGAACGAGTCTGGATGAGAAAATGGTTTGGGAGACGTGGGTGGTCAATTCTTCAGTGAGAACTGGAGATGAGATTTTATCTGTAAGTTTTAATATCTGTCAACAATATATACTAGCTAATGTTAGCATCAAGGGCTAAAATGCTTACAATTGCTTGGCAACACTGTCAGCTGCTCTGTACTGATGTAATCATAACAGTAATCATCCAGATTTTAAACTCTAAATATCAATATGTTTCAGATTATCTGGGGTGGGGGAAAACATTGATACACATAGCATCCCAATGTTTTTCCTGGCAATAGTTTAACAGTGCACGAACACCAAGTATCATCTTTGTAATGGATAAATAATTAATATTGCAAATACAAATTAAACTTTTGGAAGTCTGCTTGAATATTGAAATGAATTGCTTTTTCAGTCCACTAGATACATTAGCATACAGTTTCCCTTTGGGGACATAATTTGCAGTTGAAAGAAAGTAATGAATTGCAACATTTATTATCGTAATACTCAGCATATTGCAAAAATATTTAACATCTCAATAATATTGTATTGGGACTGAGGTATCTTGATAATATCATATTGTAGTGCCTCTGCTGATTCCCACTCCTAGAAATTGTCGGGGCACAGCTGATAAGCCTGCAAGCTGTTATGGGGGTTTAAAACTGAATGTGTAAACCTCTCATATTAGCAGATAATCTGGGCTGAACATCGGTACCGACTGGTCCCAGATCAAATTTCTCCTCTGATTATATCAGGGATAAATCCTCTCAAAACTCCTGTAGTCTGAGCCCGGCTTTAGTCACTATATCCACATTACTAATTATTATAAATCAAAAATCTCACTGTGTAACCCTTACTTAAATGTACATAATTGTTGAAATATCAATATTAAGGTGTTTCATATGATATTTGATTTGTTTCATATCACCCAGCTCTAGCTGAGACCATCTTTACAATTAAACAATAGGCAACAGGAAGCTGTGTTTGCATCCTCTAATTTCTGCAAAGCACAGTATCAAGTGGCTTATTGCTTTTTTAAAAGGGCAGCAACACTGTGCTACAAAATTAGAGAGGGAAATGTTCAGTGAACCCTAAATTAATTTATTAATAATAGTTTAATAACATTTTAATATTATTCCTTCACCTAAAAAGCAGCAGTAGCAAATGTCTGTATGTGTGTGGGGCCATTTTCAGTAGACAGTATTTCAGTATTGCTTTGATTATTACTGAACTGATCACAGCTTATACTTCACACTTAATTTATTCGAGCCATTAAACCACTGGCAGCCATTTCATCCATATTACATCATTATTGAGATCACATTTGAATAACAGAAATTTGGATAACAGGGCACCCTTAAGCCTGAGTAAAATCGACAACATTAAAGACATGACATGGGAAAGGGAGGCACAGAAACTAAGACAGATATGCTTATTAAATAACATCATTACAGCTAATATCCTTCCAACTGAGATCTACTGTGGCAGGCAACTACGTCGCTACCCTGACACAAGCATCAGCAGCTCAATGAATAATTAAATTAACACGCTGAAGAAGACCGGAATCAATGAATGTGTGCATGTCTGTGTGTGTGTATAAACCGCAGTTGATCAACACATTACCTGGTGAATTCCTGGTAATAAATTGATTTGCACCATTCTTTTTTTCTCATGCAAAGGGTTGTAAGCAGGCTATTTGCCCACCGGCCTCTGAAAGCCTGACCTGTACTGGGAAACCAACCCTGAAGAAATTAAATGTCACATCCTCTACACAGCACACTTAGCAGCAAAATTGGATTTCTCCTTTGTGTTGTATGTCTGTTGTCAGAAAATGCATGGATGGAGTCGAGCTGCAAGGATTTTAGAGTGTAAATAAATTCTAAGGCTATCTAAATGAAACTGAAATCTGATTGTAAAGTCTGAGCATGAACGGGTGTTCAAGAAAACAGTTGGCTACGACAGAAAACAACTGTGAGGACAGGAAGAGGAAGGGATGGACTGGTCCAACACAACAGAGAAAAATGACTGAGGGAGATAGAGAAAAGGAAAGAAAGGCAGGAAAGGAGGAAAGGATGCAGAGAGGGCCGAGGCACAGCCAGAGTTGACAGCTCCGCAACACAGGACAAGGATCTCGGGTTAGAAGTATCACTCTTCAAGACCAAGGGGGGCAGCATCGCCATCAGTGCCGGGCTCGATCAGCTGTTTATGATTTGTTAAGGAAACCCAGAGATTCTGCTCATGATTTAACATCATGGAGCTGGTGGCAGGAGCTGTACGTTATTGTGTGTTTGTGTGTGTCAGTGTGATAAACAGACGGAGAGAGTGAGAGCATCTGTCTTGGAGAGGCAGAGTGAATTCTAATGTGCCTGCCAGTAACATATCATAAATCCTCCAGATTGCTCTGCTCCTCACCCTCCCTTATTACCCGCCCCCTCCCCAACCCATGTCGCCAAAACAAAGGTGGGGGCATAAAACACAGATTAAACACTCAGAAGATAGCATGGGATAACGTGACAAAAGGAAATTTACAGAGATTACAACAGCCTTTGCATGTGCACGGATATGGGATATATTGTGCACTGCAGGATAGACAATACAGAGATGATAGCATTCTTCTTCCTCAACATTGTTCCTGCCTCACAAGCATTTCTTAGCAGCCCTTCTATGCGCTGCCTTTGATACCAGCACCCATCAGCGTTTGCTGCAGAGTGCAGACACGACTCTGTTGGCATCTTTTTTGTCCCTAAACTGCACTGTCTTGGCAGGTACTGGTCCGCTTGCCTCCGCTCATCAATCCCAGAAACCTCCTCTAAAGTATCACTCTCTTAAAATGTAGGTCCTCTCTTCGTCCTCTTGCACACAAACCCATTTAATTCAAACAGGCTTTGTGGAAAGACATTTTCCTGTAGGAAATCTGCTTTCTCTTGTTCCTATGTGGCCAAATCCCCAACTCACTTCTATGTATACGCTCTTATCAAAATCCATTTATTTTCACCCACCAGGCACAAAACCCTCCCAAAAGCCTCCAGAGCTAATACAAAATCCAGAGAAGCCTTTTAACTTTACACACAGCCTGCTCATCCATTTCTCTCCACTGCAGCTTTCTCCTTTTAGCATCTCTGTCATTTCTGTGATAACCATTCTGATTGATTTAAACTGGGCAGTGTAACGCAGGGCAAATGGTGCATATCCCATTTATTCTCCCCACCTCCCTCCATCACAAGTGGCTTCCCCCACTGCTCACTCTGTCTTTCCCCTCTCGTTCTCTGCCACTCTCGGCAGCGTGCCGCTCCTCTTTCGAACAGCAAAGCTGGTGCCTGGCACAAACTGCCTCAGTCAGCACAAATCTCTCCAGAGATAGACGGGAAAAAAAAGTGAGTGAAGACGGAGTGGGAGAGAGAAGGAGGGAGCTGGTAAGATGGAGAGGATGGAGGAACAGCCCCCATGCACACAAGATGCCAACCGTACTCACACAAACATTTCCATTTCTAAATATACAAATGATTCCAGGTGGCGTGCCCGCTGCCTCTGACTTCCTCGAGTGTGAATACACACAAACAGCATACAGATGAGAGTAGACAATTCTTGCTGACATCAAAGCAAGTATGCAAATGGGATAAATCAGCCCACAGATTGGACAAAGATCTGAGACCTTTCCCTACAGAGATATCTGAAAACTGATTGAATGTATGTTAACCGCTCAATAATTCAGTTAGAATGGATGCACTGATGAACGCTGTAACACAGCAACAGGCTCATTCATTCCAACACACACACACACACACACACACACACACACACACACACACACACACACACAGAATATGATACGCAGTGATTAGAGCAGATCTCTAAAGGAAACCCAGAGAGATGGAAGAGACTGAACGAATGAGAGTGCGAGAGAGCAGCAAAATCTGCTTTTAGTTTTTTAATAAAAATGTGGAGAAAATGTGCTGAGGGCTTTCATTTCCTCCTAATTCTGTTTCCCTCCATCGCTGATTACTTGCACATTACACAACTTGCCTGCCCTTTGAGGAAAGACTCAACTATTTATTAATGGTGCGAGTATTTACAGAGTGAGATGGCTGGAGCTATGTGGCGTTGAAGTAAAGGCAGCAAAAAGATCTGTGTTTTGTGTGTACCCCGACGCTTATCTGAGAACCACCTGCGATTGTGATTCTCGTCAGCTCCTCATTAAAATTCCCCACCGAACTAGCAGGGGCGATTTCATTACTGCAGCTCCAACTTTACCCCTCCATCTCCTTGATCTCCCCTTCCCCCCCGCTATCACACTGATCACTCACTCTAAGCTTTCCTCAACCCCCTGCACCTTCCGCCATCAGCCAGTTAAAATATTCAACTCCCCATATGTTATCCCAGTGATTTGGTGGGTGATGTTATGGAGCTAAGGACTGCTGCAGTAGCAGAATCAGCACACACACTAACACACACACACACCCTTTTCCCTCACCCTCCTCCTTCATGTTCTTGCTCCTTCTCTAATTAGCATGCATGTCACTGTTGTTTTGCAGTCAGACATGTGGCGTTAACAGCGTGTCTCTGATATTAGTCGATAATTTATGACCCTGGGTGTCTGCTGAAGGTAAGAAACTCTAACAGTGTTTTCTGGAATAAGTCAACTAGGGATTCAGAGAAAACTTACCGGTCGAATGTTATACGCCAAGAGGACAAACCTCTTGTCTGCAGACACTTGGAATTTAGTGGTGGTCAGGTCCTGTAGGTAAGAAGAAGAAAAATTAGACAACACATGATCCAGTTGTTCTCCTGTGAAGAAAGTGGGTTCTGCTGAAGCACTCTAAGTTTGAAATTCGACTTCAGCACAGGCTCAGGTTTTCTGGCTCATGACTCACAGTTGAGACACATGTGTGCGCACAACCAGGCAGAAAAACTCAGGTGCAAGACAAAGAAATATCACTGTAGGGCACAAAACAGGTCTGCACACTGTTAAGCTCCAAATAAAAAGTTTATATATTTCTCTCTTTTAAGGTAACCTTGCAATCTGCAGGACCTTCCTGGGGCCAAATTATAACTCAAAGTATGAAAGATCTCAGGTCTGTTCTACAGTTGTTCTACTGTTATTTTCAGTTAAGGAACAAACTGCACTCTTTCTTATCTTTCCACCAGCTCAAATAAATCATCCATTCCTTATTATCTCCACGTCTCCACTATTGTAAAGCATTACATTCTTGTTTAAGCCAAGAAGCTACAGCACAATTTATGCTGTATGTTTACAAACTAAAACACCAAGGCATTCTCATATCACCCCAGACGCTGGCTTCACAACACTGGCTTCCTCAAAATCTAATCCTTCTAATTACTTACAAGGCTTTACATATTTCAGCTCCACCAAACATTAGTGAGCTGATCTCTTATTGGTCCACTAGGACTCTCAAGTCAGCCTGATCTCACCCCAGTGGCGTCAAAAGATGCCATTGAGCAGTGGCCCTCAGTGTCACATACAGATGCACATTGCACCCTTTAGTGCCCATTGAAGATATACCAAGTGTCAACCGACTCCAATGTAAACCCACGTCAATATTAGACATTTAGAGAAATGGATGTAGTATGAAGAGCAAGACAGTCCATTTAGAGCAGGTGGGAGAGGAGGAGGATGGGTCCAACAAGCACAGGACTTGACCCAGGAGATCATGTTTGTGTCCTGTGGGAAACTAAAAGTCAGTGTTGAGTTATTTTGTCACATAAATCGTTAATCATGAGCCATTAGTCAGTTGCTGGGGGGGGGGGGGGGGGGNNNGGGGGGGGGGGGGGGGGGGGGGGGGGGGGGGGGGGGGAGTATCATTTAAAAAAGAACAACACCAGTACCCTCAAGGTGATACCGATACCAATAGAGTAATTAATGCAGTACCAATACAGTGAATGGAGTGGCGTGTAGCTAAACCATACTTAATATTTTGGTGGCATCCATCAAATACACTGCACTCGATTTCACTACACCACAGACTGGGTTTATGGGTCGTAGCTGCTGCTGCAGGAGTGTGAGCTCTGCACCAGGGATAGTTGTTAGAGTTCGCCCAGCCGCACACACACACAATGACAGGGCTAACTGTTAGCATCACACAGCTAAAATTATTTACGGTTATTAATGGATTAAACGACAGTCGAGCCATTTCTGTGTTGGTGTGGGTTTGCTGGGACTGTTTAACTGCTCCGTGTTGGATTGGCAGCAACATAAAGTATGATAAGGCAGGGAGTGCAGATGGTCCGGTAATAGACCCCTGGTGCAGAAAGGATTAAAAACAGGTATCGTTTGACTGGAGATGTTTTGATACTACAGCGTGCTGGGTTGTTGCGTTCAATACCTTAAATGTATCAAGTACTGATTTAAGCATTGGTGACAAGAGTTGTCAGTGATGTTAGTTAACTCACTTGACCAATGTCAACCATGACCAATTAGTATCATTGCCTTAACCTAACTGTCAACCCCCTGTGTCAAGATACAATGCAAAACGCTGCCAAAGCATCAAAGAGTAGGGATGAGATCATGTAGCTCAAGTCACTGGAGCATGTGCTCTTACTGTAATTGGGCTCCAGTCAAAGTTCAAGATTTGTAGTAGCCAAGATTTTGCTGTCCTGGCTTCAAGGTCATGCAACAGTCCCCCTCTCTCGGAGTCAAATCAGCAAAACATGTGACATTAGCTCCACTGTTTTCTTGTCATAAATGAACTGCACTTGCCTACCATACAACATATCAAAAACATATCAAAACGACAACGTTTGTCCTGGTGTCCAAAGAGTTAGAGCCTTACGAGTTCTTGACAAATTAAGGTATGTAAGCTCCAGGTTACACTTTGAAAATCCTCCAGTGGAACAGAGCTAAAACTCTATTGAGTGTTTAAATCTCAGCTGAAAACCTGTTCTCAAAGACATGCCATTAGAGCTTCCCTGCCCTCATTTGTTCTTATTCTTTAACATTTTTTGCTCATCTGTCTGTGATTTAAACATTTCTACAGATGCTATGTATCATCTTTTTTTTCATGACTGCGAAGCACTGGTTTAAAAAAGTGCTACCTAAAAAAAAGTTTTACTCAGTACTGTGAATTTCCATCTCAAAGTTTGAAACTATATGTAGCTAAATCTGCCTCAGCCATTGATTTATTTAGGGAAACACCATGTGCATCTTGGTATTCGTACAGGAATATTTATCTTTCTCTGGAATTAGCAACAGCAGCAGAGAAAACAAACCATATCACAACACCAAGGAGAGACTTGTTCTCAACCTGACAACACAACCCTGCTTTAAGCTCCTCTGCGATGACCCATATAAGTCTGTCAGTGTCGCGCAGAGGCGGTGTTCCAAATGATGCCCTTGCTTGGAAAATTCTCTTTGAAAGCACATGTTGAGGGCTCACAGAGCAGCCAGATTTCGGGGAAAAGAAGCTGATACTGTCACGCCGCCAAATCTTTTTTTCTCTCTCAAGAGTGGGATGTGGAACAGTGGGATTCTACAGCCTCTCTCTTAATCTGGAAGCTCTTTTGGCCAGCCAATTTGTCCAGCTGCCTGTGGACATGGGCCAATCAATACTAAAATGTGTCCTCTGTCCTCAGAAGATGTGTTGCTGTAACTCACCAGGGAGGTGTTGTCCACCAGAGTCGAGGTGAGATTGCTGTTGAGGCTGAACGACAGGACGTGTCCCTCTCTGGTGCGGAGAGCCACTTCGTTTTCTGACAAGGTTAAGACAGGTCAGGGAAGAGGGCTCTGTGTTATTAGAGTGATGACTTAAATCCACAGAGGCAGTGATGGCTGATAGGTCTCAAAATCAGTGGCTCAGCCTCAGGTGAGATCATCAAAGTGGATTTAAAGTGCAGTGAGCACTTAGTGAGTCAGGAGTAATTTGTGAGTCAAAACAGGGATCCTTACCGTTCAACCATGCCACACAGGGGTCATGAACTTTGAACTCATCACTCTCCAAATCCTCCATGGTGAGATGGGAACGGAGTAACAAGTGAGATTCATCTTCAGATGCAAAGAGACAAGAATTAATTAGCTCATCAAAAAGTGTGTCATGTTTACACTAAAGCGAAGTCTGAGTACGTTGGAGTCTGGCCTATATTTCTGCTTTGAACTTAGATTCTTTTTTTTTTTTTTTTGCATTTTTAATGTCACTGTTAATATGTTTGCAATATTTGCAACATTTTTTAAATGCTTGCCCACATTACTCCTCCTTTCAAAGCAGAAGATCAACATTTTGGGAAAAATGCCTATTTGCTTTTTGGCAGAGAGTTAGAAGACATTCTCATAGCTGTGCATTGAATATAAGGCTACAGCCAGTAACTGGTTAGCTTAGCTTAGCATGAAGACAGGAAGCTGATAGAAACAACTTGCCTGGCTGTGTCCAACAATGACAAAATACACTGACCAGCATCTCTAAAGCTCAGTAACATGTTAAATCCATGTGCTGCAGCTGGTTAGCTTAGCATAAAGACACAAAGCAGATAGAAACAGCTAGCCTGGCTCTGTCCAGCAATAACAGAACACGCTGCCAGCATCTTTAAAGCTCACCAATTAACATGTTTTATCCATGTACTGTAGCTAGTTAGCTTAGCATAAAGACAGGAAGCAGATATAAACAGCTAGCCTGACTCTGTCTAACAATAACAAAACACACCTATCAGCATCTCTAAAGCTCACTAATGAATATGTTTCATCCAGTAACAGTAGCTAGCTAGTTAGCTTAACATAAAGACAGGAAGCAGATAGAAACAGCTAGCCTGGGTCTGTCCACCAATGACAACATTTATCTACCTCTAAAGCTCACTAATTAACACATTACATCCACGTATGTTACGTGTATCGATAGACATAGCTATGGTGAGGTCACACATTGGCCTGTGGACTCCCGTTTTGAAGCCTCAACTTTGGCATTATGGCCGTCACCATCTTGGATTTTTTCACAAACAGAGACCAAATTTGGACAAGAGATTGGAGGTGTGGAGAACGAGGGATGGATCTGACTCATAAACTGTGGTGATGTCTTGCAGGCAGCCTGTCACTCGACAAGGCCACGCCCTTAATTACGTCTAACTTTAAGCCTCAATAAAATGTAAACAGGTGAGTTATAAAAATTCTGTCCCTGTAGAGTTGTCATTATTTGGAAAATTAGCTATAGAAACCAAAACCGTTTCGTACCAGGCTGGAAACACATTTATTTCTGCTGTAAATTTGGGCATTTTAACATGGCCCAGCTGGCACCAGATGTCAATATGTTGTCAGAGAGAAGTTGGACTCTGACGTCCAACGTTTTGGTTGACACAAAAATTGGGTTGACAATATTTTAAGTGTCTAATGACGTTAGTATTTGAGATTTGTTCTCCATATCTTACAACTAAATGTTTCCATTCTACGTCAAGATGACATTGGCATGGGAGGACATTGGATTTTAGTTACTTCACAACATAACTTAAAACCAACAAAATATAAAATGGCATGTGCTGTCAGTATCTACATCAAATTGACACTGGCATTAGAAGTTGTCCTGACATTAAATTTTGGTCACCCAATGTCACAACCTAAATTCAAACATATATCAACATCAAATGAGGCTGGTGGTCAACTGGAGGGGGTCTATTAGGATTGACTGGCTTCTGGAGCTAGCCTCCAGTGGCCATTTGAGGAGGTGTAATTTATAGCACTTCACGGTTGGCTTCATTTTTCAAACCCTGAGGTTTCCCACTTGGTTACATTTTTTGTTTAATCCCTATAAAAAATGGTGAATTGTAGTTTTTACACTGTGGTTTTAATACAGTTAGAACAAACAAGATATGATGTGTTAATTATTGAGCTTTAGAGGTGTGGGTAGAAGGATTTTGTTATCTTTGGACAGAGCCAGGGGAGCCATTTCCCCTGTTTCCAGTCTTCATGCTAAGATAACCTGACTGGCTGATGGCTTAATTTAGACCCTACAGACACGAGAGTGGTAGTGATCTTTTCATTTTACTCTCCACCAGAAAGGGAGACTATTTCACAAAATGTCAAACTACTCCATTAATTCCCCACATCACAACTCCTCTCAGCTTGGTTGCTTTTACTCCCAAACAACTTCTTACCAGGCGTGAGGAGGATGACGGAGAGAATGACCAGAGACATAACAGCCAGGATCACCACCATGGCAATCCCTATGCCCTTCCAGTTCCGTGGGGGACCATCTGAACTCCCCAGGTCCTGATATGAAAAGAACACACAAATACAGTGATGAATGCGAGCACAGCTGAGGAGGAGGAGGACATTAGTGCTGCCTCATTTCTACGCTCTCACAGAAATTCCCCCCCCCCGACAGGCACATCAGTACAGTGAGCCTCGGGGGGGATTGGGACCAGTCTTCAGCATCAAACAGACCTCGCTGAATTACTTTAATTTTCCGTATGAGAACTGCGTAAAATTGTTGCGAGATCAGACTTTAATTGCGGCAGCAGTTTTGGCCGCACCATAATTTTTCTTTATCATCGCCTCATTTCACCTGTTACATGACTGATGAGCCATGTGCTTTTGCTAAAAAACAGGAGGGATGGTGATGGGATAATGAAATGTACCTGAAATGACAGAGTGCTTTTTATAGAAAAAGCTGTTACCTGCTTTGGCGGATCTGGATTTATTTAACAGCATTGGATGAAGTTGTTAATGAGGTAATAAAAATAAGAAGTGGCTGGGACTGTATAAGTACACAATAAATTCTAGATAAAGCCTCAGTTACCAAGAGAGCAAAACTTCAACTTTCTTTAAGTCCTTGTGTATCCTCTGTATGCGATCAGGGGGAACTGATGGAATGAGCCAGCATCAGTATCACTTACAATTAAACACAATTGCATGCCGTTCCCAAGCTGCGTTCCACTCCCTCATAATGAGTGGTTGGCACTGCTGGAGCCACATGGCCGTTGGAGTGCGAGAGAGTTCAATCACAGAGCAGCTATAAAATTCAGCCTTCATTATGGCTGCCCGCCCCTTTGGCTTAACCCTCAGAGCCTGTCCCGATCACCTTCCTCCGGGACATAGGGAGGTGGGCAGCGGAAGGAGGGTATCTTGGCTCGCAGGTCAACAGATTGCTGCTCCTCTGTGCTCCCTGGGTGACACCAGCTGTCCCTGAGTCTCTTGTATCGGTCACACCTAGCACTTCCTCTCCAAAAACATACAATTCTTTATCTCCCTTGACCATCTGACTTACAGTAAAGCTGCTGGCACATAGCGTGTCAAAGTGCTGAAAACTGCACTTACATAACTGGAGTCAAAATGTCTTAAAAACCCATTTCAGAGGAATGAAATATTCTGCAGGAACTGAAGAGTAAAGGTCAATGCAGTTGAACCAGAAACAGAGAGGTTTCTCAATTTTTTTTACGCCTCCGTGCACCACTTATTTCGCTAAGATAAAAATCCTCCATACACATTTTTTATGACTTTTAAGAATTCTTTATAGAGGTTCTCACCTCTTATTAAAAAAAGCAGGTTCACTTTATACCCAAGATGAATGGAAGACACACGAGGTCTGCTCTATCTCAACTGGTTGCCAGCACAGAACTCCTGCCAAGGTCTCATCTTTAATAGATCTCCCTGGCTCGCAGTATCATAGCATGTTCAAATTAAAACCACTACCAGTTGCACCTGCAGGGAGAACCTCTGAGTAAGGCTTGAACTCTCAGTGCAGGCCAGAGCTGTGTGATTGATGTCCAATGCTGTGTATCTACTGGCCTCTCTAACACTCTGTTTTGTCTCATTCTCCTGCCCTCTCAGCACACAATCTCCGAGTGAACTACCATTATACTTCCATCAGATAAACAAACCTACAGCAGTCCATGAAGGCGTTGGGAGAATACAGTCAATACTAAAACATACTGCATCTTCAGCACTTTCTGTTTGTTTAAACTGTTATACATTTGAAAAATTGAGAACTGAATCTCTCTGAACTTAAAAAATGTATTTCCCTGTTGGAAAGATGGTCTTTTCATAAAACAGGGCTATGGATACAGAAACAATAATAATTTAGAAATTGGTGCTACATGACCACAGAAAAAGGGCTGTGGCATTTTGCTCAAGAGGTAGAAAATCTACAACTACCAGAATGCACTGTGCCACACCGGACCAATAAATGCTCCCACCAATGATTGATGTAGCCTGCATTCATGTGGAGTTGGACTAATTGGAAAAACGAGTTCCCCACTGGATAAAGCCCCCCTTAGTCAGACCAACAACTTGCAAAATCAGCAAAAAAATTTGTACACAAGGTGCCAAGCTGTCATCATAATCATGGCAGATGAAAGTAGATGTTCGGTTGATGGTAAAAACTAATTTGTGTAATTCACAATATGGCATTAGGCTGTAACCATTAGCTGTCTGTGTAAGGTGACCTGGATTAGTTAGAAAAATGATTTATTAGCACGAGTCGAGTAAAGCAATATTTTAGTAGTTTTAGGGGATGTCCTGATACAGCAACAAGTCTGGGACAAATTGCCTTTGTAATATAAAGCTTCAAACTGTTATCAATGTGTTGTTTAAATGCTCTGAGCAATAAAATATGATACATTTACTTTGTAGTGTCCATGTTGTTTTCACATTTTGACTTAAAGCTCAAGAACAAGTCGGAAGAATGACTTCACAACTCCGAAACTGGAACCATCCGAGGAGCACATGAACGCAGCAGTGATGCAAACTTGTCCGTTTTGACACAGGGAATCAATATGGTGGCCTGCTGGTAACAAACGATCGCAAATTCTGTGAAACAGTAAGCTAAAATATGTCTCTGAAAACATTTTAGGCATGACATAAGCAACACAGTAACATATTTTTGGTTTATATTTGATCAGCACTGCTTGGTTTTACCATCTGATCTCTTTTTTTTTCAGCCTCCATTTTTACAACACAAGAAACGGTATGGCGCACACTTCCTGTTCACAAATTCTCATATTAGAGCCAAACAGTGCACTAAAATATTTTTTAGGACGAAAAATGCGCATAACAGTATCAGAATCTTAGTTTATAATTGATCAGCACCGCCTACTTTTACACTGTGGTCTGAGTTTGAGGGAGATGGGCGGCTCTCCCTCTCAATCTGCCTCTATACTCTTTATTGCCATGGTGGCGGGCATACCAAAATGTGGAAGTACGATCTGTAGTTCAAGCAACAGCCCTGGTGCCAGTGAAATCTGCCAGATGACGTGATTCGAGCTGAGAGATGAGCAGGGAGATCTGGGCACTGGCAAGATGGGGCAGTGTAATATGTTAATCATTTACACATACTACCCACTCTGTTATGATACAAAGCTGGTTAAAATCGGCAGAGTATCCCTTTAACAAACTGGGTATATGTTGCATACTTGCAATCCATGAAAAATAAGTGTCACGGTTACATATCATAAAACATATAAAGAACTGCATAATGATTCCAGGATCTCATAGTAAAAAGGGACGATTTAAATTAAATTCCTCCACTTGACTGATTCCATCACACAGTGTTTTCATTTCCAAGTCCTCGGTCTAATTACTGGGTGCAATGTGAGAGCTGAAACATCCTCCTAATGGGATGCACAGCTCCTATCATTCCCCTGAGCCCAGACATTAGACCATACTTCCAATTAAGGTCGTATCGTTGTTCCGACAGACCGGGAGAATCCCACATTTGGGTGAAAGAGGAGTTTTGTCATACTTGCAAATGAGGTACAGATGCGCTGGGAAGAATCCCCAAAGTGTACACTGGTGAAGCTGCTGGTACAGACTGGTTGCTGATCACAATGCATGAGGGAATCTAATGCAGCACAAACTGCAGGCACAGGTGATGAGCTGGGCTATGTGACGGTCAGGGCTTATGTCAGTCAGCACCGGGATGGACAAGCAAATATATCAGGTTTTCTGCTGAGCCAGGTCGAAAATCACGAATAAACCATCCACAGGAGTTGAAGTGGAAGCCCAGATGAGGTGTCAGTCAAACACCAAAGGATGCGAGTATGTAAATCAAAGGTTGTTATGTTTACGGATAACTCTCCTGAAGGAATCCCCTTGAGAGGATGTTTTTTGGCAACCTGTGCAGAACTGCATTAGAGAAGAGAAAGCTCTGCTGTTTGCCAGCAGAGCTCGGGGATTTTCACTCAACCAAATGAGAGAATCGATAAGGTGTACAGTTGTACAAGGTCCAGAGGGAAACAATTAATAGTGGGAATACAGCCATAAAGCAGACTTTTAGGAAAACGCCCCCTGTTAAGCACTCTTGCAGAGTATGACACCTCCATGTGGAGCACCAGGACCTATCCTGATCTCTCTTGTATCATTTTAACTTAAGAGTCACACTTATTAAACTGCACACAAACGGATTCCAGCTATCTGGTTTCTTTTTCTCACAGCACTGCACACAAAATCAAACAATTCCAACTGTATTGATTGAGTTTGTACACTAAAAAAAGGAAGCCACACTTACACACAATTACTCAATCTGCACACTGTGCAACACAACTAGGTTGTGCAGAATCCAGGCGGTGCTAAGAATTCATAAATTAGGCTCTGGAGACCTCCTTAACTCCATCTTCTGTGTCTTTGAGGCATGGAGAATCCGACAATAAATCACATGCAGAGAAATGAGGGAACCAGTGCAGGCTGTTTGGGGATCCTGGTTCTGGATTTGCATACCTCTAAAGCCCCCTTTAACATCAGGCAGAGGTGTTTATTACTAACATGACATTGGCAGACACATCAATGAAATAACTACTACCATAAAAAAGAAAGATATATTGGCAGACACATCCAGCCCTTAATATAACCTATATGGTCCTTGTTTTAATGATACATTATAATTGCTCATATGGGACTGCAGTAGATTAGCAAGCAACCCATGTCTTACCTTGTCAATATCTCTCCCTGCCTCATTTAAAATGAAGGCCATCATTAGAGCAGGCTGTAACTTAGTGTGGTTGGAATAAATGGTAACCAGTCTGCTGTAGTAATGGGATACTATAGCTCAATATTGATTCATATCTAGGCTCTCTTTCATCGCATCCAGAGGAATTTCTGTGCTCCTACACACTGCGCCACCATTCCTCCCTTTGCGTTTATTCAAAAAAAAACAAACAGTAGGAGGTATAGACACCATATGGGACTATCTGGGTGGATTTTTTGCCCTCGGGGCTACTGCCAGACAATGCAGCACACAGCCTTTGTGAAATGAAAGACCTGCCGCTTTAGCCTCTAGTGCTGCAAGGCTGCCCTACTGTCTTCTTCTTTTCATGCTCCCTCGTCACGCATAAGAAAACGACTGTACAAAAAGGGTCCTGTATGAGGGAGCTTTTCCTCTGCATGTCCAGCCACTCACAGTGACCGAATTCCTGCCTTAAGGAAACAAGCAGCATCAGTGAAAACACGTGTGGGAGAGCTGCGGGTGACATGATATAGTGTTACAGTGAAAAATGAGAAAGAGTATGTCATTTTTCACTGGGCTGAAACTCCACGGTAATACTCTATCAGCAAATAGTGGGCTTACTGTATCAAAATTCACTGTGTCATATTGTCACATAATCAGTGTTCAGGATGAATGTTGAATTGCCTTTGGAAAATAAATTAAAACACCATTATTTTCCTCCTTAATTCCAGGGCTTAACTAAACCAGAACCAAAGCTTTATGCTTTCTTGGCATGGAATTGTGATGTGAATTTCTTATTTGACAGCATCACACATCATTTACGTTGACTCTGCAATGCTCAATGCTCATACTGTATCATCTAATATTATGACACACTAACACACGTCACAAGCAGCAACCCACATTCCCCCCTAAATCATTGCATCTTCTCACCAACATAACCCAGCTTTGCCCCATTAATTGCTTTACAATGTAAAGCACATTGATTGGAGCCTTTGGCATGAATGTTGTAACATTTACAGGTGATGGATTGCCCATAAGCCCCGCAGTCGTTCGTGGCCTTCTCAAGGAGACAATAATGCTGCAGGATTATCACACGGACACTTCACAACCAAGTCGGAGTAAAAGAACTAAAGGTGAGCGTTGCTTAATGTCAAACATCACTATGCTCATACCAATTAGACATCATTTAACTGCTCCTCTCGTCTCTCAAACACTTTCTCCACCAGAGCAGCTGTGTACTAATCATCTCATGATTGAAACTCTTTGCCAGGGAGAGTGACACTTTGATTAGAGCTTATAATTAGTTGACTTGGCAAGGTTAAGTTGTTGCACAGCACTGTGGAGTAACAGATGCGCCAGGGTAAATTTTCTGGACAAGGACTGATGCAGCATGAGAAAGTTTTATTTAAAAAAAAAAAAAAAAGGAATCACTGCATATTAGTTATGTATAGATATTAGGCATGTAAATCCAACTGAAATCAAAGTGTGATGTTTAATCTGATGCAAGCATTTATCAGCATCAGTGATGTTACATTAAAGCATTCATGACTGCACTGGAAGTTGCACAAGCTGCTCCTGACATGTAGGCAGAGCTCTCCTTTAAATAAACCAAAAGAACTCATATTGGAGTGGACATGCATGTTACAACTGAATGCAAATAATAATTTATATACGGATATTTTATTAACTACACTATGTATAATCATTAGTAAGGAGTGTTAATAGTATAAGCAAAGAAACAGATCATATTGGTTCATGGTCTTTGTTCAATGACAATACACAGCAGAGGGATAATCAATCATACAGTGCAGGCTGGAGGTTTCAGCCTCTTTTTCACAGGCTGGGGGGCACATTTGTCTGCTGGGACAATCTCTTATGTGAATATACAATCTATTGGTGCAGATATTATGCTATAAAAGTCTGCATGGGACAGAAGGACAATAAGAGTAAGAAGCACTGGACGTCGAGTTACAACACCCGCCTGCACCGCAGTACACAGGCTGAAGGCAGTCCAGGAGATTGATACTGACGGAAAAGTATGAATGGGCGAAATGGCTTTAAGCACTAATCGATAATCATCGTATTGTGGGCACACATGAGGAATTCCTCACTGTACAGCACAACACAGCACAGCAGAGGACTCACAGATGAGACACACACATGAACATGCACGCACACACACTCACTGCTCTGAATGTGAGGGAAAACTAAGTAGGGATAAAAACAATTAAAAAGCAACACATACCAGCTCAGTGGTCATGTTTTGTTGAGTTGTGGCAATCATTGTAATCCGCAACAAGCTCTGCTGCCTCTGTAGCTTCAAACCCCGCCGAGCGGCTGCACTGTTGTCTTGCGGAGCTTTTTCTGCATGCTCTGCTTCTTGCAAGTTTGTCCTCGCTGGGCTGGTGCTCTCTCTCCCTCTCTTTCTCTCCCTCGCTCTGCACGGGTGACTCTCGCTCACTCATTCGCCTATTTCCAATCTTCTTAGGCTATTGATTGGCTCAGAAATTAATCATGACAGGAGGTTGGGTACATGGCTATTCCAGGCGACTTCAGCTGTTTCAGCAATCCTGGAGATAATCAAAATGGAGCAATTAAAAACAAACAAAATGTGAGAGACTGACAGCAAATTTCATCCACAAGTGCTTATATTTCAGTGTTATTATTGAATTCTATTAATATAGTAATTATAAAGTCATCAGCTAATAGTGTATGCAATAATACACCTCAGTGCATTATACAGGAGCAATGCTGCAGTGTCTTTATACCTGAAGAGACATGCTGGGTAGGATACATTTTAAAACACCACATATCCATGGGCGGATTATGAGCCAGTGGGCCCCTGGGCACAGATACAAAAAAGGCCCCACCACCTCTCTTCCATAGTAGCAAGGTTGTTGTGATGTGATGTTGTTTTGTGTTTGCGGATAATTTTGCATTTCTTTGTTGTTACTATGCGCATCTTTTTGTGTAATTGTGTCTTTTTTTGGTCATTTTGTGACTCTTTTGGTTGTTTTATCTGTTTTTGCAGTTGTTTTGTGTCTCTGTAGTTCCTTTGCCTCTCATTGTGGTCATGTTGTATGTCTTTGTGGTTGTTTTTGCCTGTTTTTGTGTTTTTTGTGACTCTTTGCAGTGCATTGTATCTTTTTGTGGTCATGTTAAGTCTCTTTTTGGTTGTTTTGCCTTTTTTGTAGTTAATTTGTGTCTGCAGTGCTTTTGCATATCTGTATGGTCATACTGTGTTTCTGTGGTTGTTTTGCAGTTTGTTTAGTCTCTTTGCAGTTCCTTTGCATCTATTTGTTGTCATATTTTGTTTCTTTGAGGTTGTTTAGCCAGTTTTTGTATTTATTTTTTGTCCCTTTGCGATTCCTTTGCATGTCTTTGTGGTCATACTACGTCGCCGTGGCCGTTTTGCAGTTATTTTTAGTCTCTTTGCAGTTCCTTTGCATCGGTTTGATGATATATTTTGTCTCTTTGTGGTTGTTTTGACTGTTTTGGTAGTCATTTTGTGTCCCTTTGTAGTTCTTTGCATCTCTTTATGGTCATATTGTGTCTCTTTGTGGATGTTTTGCCTGTTTTTGGAGTTCCTTTGCATCTGTTTGTAGTTATTTTGAGTCTTTTCCTGGTTATTACATGTTAATTAGAGTGACATTTTTCAGGTAAAGGCCAGGGGGAACCTGAAACCTTGGGCACCTGGGCCTGTGGCCGGTTGGCCCATTCAGTAACCCATCAATGCATGTATTGTCCATTAATAAATATATTATCCCCACAGAGGAACAAAGTGGTGTTCAAATTATAATAGATATTTTCAAAACAGAAAGACTGGGGTCAATATCTTGGTCAAAGTCCAAGACACTTCATTGATAGGTCTCTTAAGTTAGGTGTTAGCTACATTAGGGTTAGATAGTCAAAATATATCTTTATGGTGATAATTTATCTGAATATTTTGATGCTCTTTTAGTGCTACAGATGCAGGACATTACCTTTCAGTAGCAGTATACTGTCACTGGCAGCCAAAGTCCATAAAATGGGCTTACAGACACAAGTCGTTATTTTTCCACCTACACACTCCAAGAAATAACGGTTTCTTTGCTCGTATGGATTCTATTTTGAAAGTTGTAACCGGAAGTCCGACGTTTTTCTTCTTTTTTTTAATCCCTGTCTTCATTCTCTATTTATTGGTTTATTAGATTGTTAGCTGATGGATAACATTATCTTTTTTTTAAATGACAGTCAACATTCGTTTTTTGTTACATATTTCCGTGTGTTTGTGTCCCTTTGTGTTAACAATGTAGCGATAAGCGACCGTTACAACGATTTTATTTTGAAAATGCGCACTCGGAAGTTATGTTCGTTTCTCTGTCTTGACATCATTGCAGTGGCCCTCGCTCATTGGCTAGCGGCGAAATTTGAAATGCGACGCGCTCACTGTGGCTGTAGCTGCGGAAGGATGTGGACAAAGATACAACAAGGTGGTCGCTAAAAACAGAAAAGGAAAGAAAGCAGTCCATTAAACATCACCAAAAGGGTCTTACCGTCCAGTTCTCCGGTACCGAAACGGTAGGTAACTGTTGCTAGCGAATATTTACTAACATGTATCGTTATCAGCTGAAGTAACCGTCGTGTTGTTTTCAGTCAGGACGTTACAGTTGAGACCGTTTAGTTGAGTTGGGTGTGTTTAAAAACGGTATTCCCTTGAGATGCCAAGCTAGCTAAAACAAAAATGGCAGCTAACCAAGCGCATTGTTATATGAGAAGTAAAGTTAGATATTGACGTGAGCCTGTGGGTAAACGGGGCTAATTGACATTTTTAATGCATTACTTTTTGCCATAAAGGTTAAGGATAGTTCCCACTTCCTCTTGAAATCTGCCAGGTGTTTTTATTTAGCTACAATGTAAAGCAGCCATACACCAGCCCTAAAGATAAAGGAGCACAACACTTGCTACCCAATGAATTAAGTGTACCTAATATATCTGCTTTAAGGGTCTTCAGTTGTAGACCAACATGGAGACTGCTGTGCTGAGCCTCCAGACCTTATATGATAAGCTGAGGACACAAGTTGACGTTCTCAATGAGAGCATTGAACCCAGTGAGTATGTTATGGTTCTTGGTTTTATCTCCACTATCTATCATTTAAGACATATGCCTTAGGCTCCTTTTCAGATGCCTGCCACAGTACTGAGTCTACTCTCTTTCCCAGACTTCATCCAGATGGCACAAAACTTTGATGAGTGCCGACGCAAATGGCTGAGGGCAGAGCAGGATCTGGGCTCTTGCAAAGAGGTGCTCACCAAAGCGGAGACAGAGAGAGGAGCTTTGGAGGTCAAACTGAAACATGCCCGCAACCAAGTGGATGTGGAGATCCGGCGCAGACAAAAGGCTGAGGCAGACTGTGAGAAGTTGGTACGTTGGATCAAATGCTTAACCTTTTTATTGAGATATGTTGATTTCATCTACTCCGTCATTTCACCCGATTCACTGAGTTTCTCATTTGTGCTTTGCTTGCATTTCTGTAACACAGGAGCGTCAAATTCAGTTGATTCGGGACCTTCTGACTAGTGAGGGATCTTCCAACAGCATCCAGCTGAGTGCAGAGCAGCGCTCAGCTTTGGCCTTTCTGAGCACGAACTGCCAGGCAGCAGCAGCCAACCTGAACACCAGCCGGAGGTAATAAACCTGTTACCTGTTGCTGGGGCCATGTGGTAAAATACAGAGTATGGTAATCCTGGTTATTTACCTTGTATGGAGCTTTATTTTCACATGGGAACATCTGACATTTGAGGCTCAGATTCAATTCAGAATTATATTCACAAGCCAACTTTAAACTAGGGAACTCATTTTCCCCAGCTATTCCCATCTCCATCTATTTATCACATGAATGCACCATTCCAACACAATTTCAAACCACTCTGAACTTTCAAATGCATTTCCATTTTTTAAAGGATAAAATGGGAGATAAAACAACTTGCTAAAATGCTCTGGGTGGAGGCAAATGTAGATAAACTCTGTGGGTGGGAAGCATTGCTGGCTGGTTTAACACACATTTTCTGTTTCTTCTAAAAGACTGGCCACGATCGATGAGTCTGCCTCCATCTTGTCAGATATCAGCTACGACAAAACTGATGACTCTCTCGTAAGTGCTTTTGTTTTTGGTATCATCGAGAGTTACATTAAAATCTTACACAGTATATTGAGCTCCTTTTTTAATTTTGATATCTAATTTGTATTGTCTGTGACAGGACTGGGACTCCTCCACTGTGAGGACAGTGCGACTCAAGAAAAGAGAAAAAAGGGTATGATAAGAACATGTACACCTTTTCTCTTTCAGCATTTGTGTATGGAAGACTGGCTTCGTGTGCACTAGAGTTACAAGTGTCATGTTTCTGTTTTGATTTCAGCGCTCCTCGAGAAATCATGTCGATGGTCCTCCAGTTGCCTCAAAACGATCTCGATCAACAGGCAGAACTTCAGAGAGGGTAAGGTTTTTGCTTTTTCATCACTGAAATATGTGGTGTTATCACACATAGCCACGATCACTCACTGCAAATATAAAGACTTGAAATATGGCAACCAAAATTTTGTTTACAGTTTGACTGGACACTTGAGACAGATCCAAACATATCGACTAATCTTCTTAAACAGATATCTGTTTATGAATGCTGATACTTTTTTTTAAAAAAGCTAATTAAAAGATATATCATCCTCAGAGGATAGTAGATGGGTTTTGAGATTGCATTTCAGCCAATGCATTCCACCTCTTTTGCTCTCCACACAAACTGCTTACCTTCAAAGCCTTCCATACTACTCAGACTATAAACTGAAACCAGAGCACTTCTGATACCAAAATCTTGTCCCATTGCCTAAAAATTCTTCATACATATGCAGAAATAATCTGTTTGTCAAGATTAAGTTGTATGTGGTTGTTCTGACTGGTCTATATTAATTTGTGACAGGGAAATGAGACCCTTGTGACAAAGACCACAGTGACTGTCCCTGCAAATGGAGGACCTGTGGAGGCGGTTTCTACCATTGAGACTGTTCCTTACTGGACTCGCAGCAGGAGAAAGACCGGTAAGATTGTTGTCATGATGGAGTATGTACGCTTGGGCAGTACTGAGCCCAGTTCTTCAGATGTGGCTTAACTAATTTGGGCAAGTTTTATGTTCGACAGTTTTAATTACTTTGTTAGTTCTAATATTCAGATATTTAGAGCCATGTGATTAGCTTATGTTGCACTTTTTAGCTGTCCAAACCACAGCATAAAAGTGTTGTCATCACTCTGTGTGAAATTCATTTGTTAATTTTGGATGAAGTCCTTTAAATGCTTGCTTTTATTTTGAAATACAGGCAAGATTTTAAATTTAAGGCCATTTAAGAAGAAGTGAGCAATCCAAGCTCATTATTCACCGAATCAAT